CACTTCTCATTGCACATATTGCATCTGTGAGAGCAACTATGTAATTCTTTGCTAAAGTTAAGGTTTCAATTTTTGATAGTCGTCTTTCCTTGCTTACGTGTGGTATTACTTCACGTAAAGACTACAAAGTGTAATAATTAATGGATCCTATTTCAAACGTAAACAATTTTGAATGAAAGAAACATTACAGATATCTTTACCTGGAATGCATCGTTTAAACTGTGCATTCTCATTCTTTCTCTTTCATTACTTTCTAATCTTCTCAGAGTTCTTTCTCTAGGTGTAGCTCCTCTAGATGGTTTTGATAACTTTAAGCCTGATTTTTCAGATCTCTTGCTACTTCGCTGCACTGTTCTTCTAGTCTGTGATCGTTGTTTAGTCCAGTTTTCTTCCCAGTTGTCTCCGTTCATTATTTTGGATTTCATTCAAAAATATTCCTTTTGTAATTAATGATATTATTATATATATTATATATTATTATATATATATATTATAAATCCATTATTTAAAATCCTCATATTTCTCTTTTGAAATTATTAAAAATTTAGACAATGTTTCATAGGATTTGGAAGCATATACAGTAAAATCAGTATGTATCATTTAAAATATTTTTCAAGGTCAATAAATAGAAATAAAAAAATAACAAGTACTTTTTATATTTTTATACAATGCAAACAACTTTGTACAAAGAAGTATATTATTCATAGTATTTTATGTACTTACAGTAATGAATAAAACGTTTATTAGTTGCTAATCAATGAAGAATGGAGATGCAAATATAATAGTATACTTTATAATTTTTATAATAAATTGAATTCACAAATTTTCGTTGAACTTTCCCGGAAGGAATTTAGAAAAAAAACGGGGTAATGGCAATTCAGATGTTTTAATGCATTTTTGAATATTTGAACTAACTACACAAAACCGCGTGTACTTGTTGAGCCACGTTGGAACGACAACTGACGTTGCGATGCCGGGGTGCGGCCGAAACAGCCTTCCACCCCCGGGAACTATGCGATCTACCCTGTGACCTTTTCTTAATATGTTTTTCATAATGCTTCTCCAACCTTAAATTTTCGTTCATATGAATAAAATTCATCTAAAAATTTGCATATTTTTATTAAAGAAGTTCATACATTTAATAAAATTTTCACTAGAATATTACATCGCTAAAATTATAAGACACTTAGAACTATAAAATGTGTTATTCGCGATGTTTTAAAAAATTTGCGATCTTGAATTTATGATGCTCGTTAATTTTTAATTTCATTAGTAAGAAAGATCTTCTTAATGTTTATGAATCTCATTTTTAACACACACATATTACGCAGTACGTGATAAGCTTTGTACGTGTGCGCGGCTACAGGTGGGCGTATGACGTAATTCGCCCACGCGGTTCTTTCTATCTTCCTATAATCACACTACCCTCCACCAAGACAGCGTGAAATATCCTTCAATATATTTTATACACGTGTTTTGTTCAGCAATAAATTACATTTTCGTAACTTCTGATGTGCAATGTGATTAGAAGTAATTCATTTTTTATTAATTGTTTTTTATCAATGTTATCAAATTTTTAAAGTACTTGTACGAACAAAAGGAATTATTTAATTTAAAAAACGATGATTTGTTGTCTATTGTCCAGACGCGAATAACTACATGTATTTAATTTTTCTTTTATATTTTATAATAAATAAAATAAAAATTTAAAAATGTACAAATTTTAACCAACTGAGAAATTGTAACAATATAAATGTACATATAAATTGACCTTTATTATTTATGTATTATCTTTACATTTGCCACAACAAGTCTCAGTCTGTTTTTCTAACTCAGATTCTTTATGATTAGGGGTCCATGGTCCAAGACTAGTAGCAGCATAATAGTCCATAGGGTATGGTTTATCAGTATTAAAGCTTATCATTTTTAAAGCAACAGCTCCCTCATAAGGTGTAAGAAATGGTTTTTCGAAAGCTGTACCCCAGTCTATACTTAATCGTGGGCATGCAATCTATTAAAGAATTTTTCGTATGAAATATTGTTATGTTTTTGTTTAAAAATGAAAATTCATGGACATAAAGTAATATTACCTGTATAAAAGCATCAACATCCTTGAATAGTTTAATTTTATCCGGAAATATTTCAGACAGTAATATAATAACATTTTCCTTTCCTAGTAATTTGATTTTATTTTCTATATTTTTTAATACATTGAGACTTCCTTGTCTGCCTAAAGTGCCTAGAACCAATCCAAATGTACCACTATCTTTCACATTATTTATAGCTGATAATCTAGTTCTCAGCATTTCTTCATGATTATAAAATTCTTCGGTCAGCTTTTTCTCATACGGATCATAACGAAATGCTCTTAGTCTTGGATTAGCGATCATTACTGCTTCTAAGTGAAATCGACCATCGCCGACATAAACAACAACATTAGCGCATCGAATTTGTGGTGCTGTGCAACCTAAAATCTGTGATTTTAAATATGAAATATGAAGCTCAAGTTCATTTTGCACAGCATAATATAAAACTATAATTTACTTCAATTTTACTATATGTATAGAAGAATACAAGTACCTCTCCGGGACTTAGTGGTTTACTTTGTGGCGTAGATACTTCATACCCATGTTTCTTCATTTCTACTGCAATTGCTTGTAAAGTTCCAACAAACTGAATAGTGCTTACAAGAGCTATTTTTGTCGTAATCGGTAGCGTGGCTTGTAAACACTCAATGCAATGCGAAGCATCAATTTTAATGTTTACGAATACATAAAGTACTTTAATTCCAACTGTTTGATCAATAGGTATCAAACAAGAATGACCGTAATGAATTAAAAAATCTGCATTTAATGCTTTAGCTGTGAAGTCGTCTACGCAACATGCTCCTATATAAAATATTTTAATGTAAATATATATTTCAACAGAGTTAAAGAGATATTTGTTCAAATTAACTCTAAAGAGTGGACTTTATTTTATCAATAAAGAGGTCCCAAATTATTTTGCCAATAGGATTTTCTCAGATTATGCAATATTCTTTATTGCATAAACATTCTAACAGCGCATTCGTTCAAAGTAACAGCACTAACATAAATAAGTTAGAAACATTGTCGATCCATTCCTATCATCTTTTCTATCATAGTAAATGCTTGTCCATTATATTATTCCCATTGTCAAGATGTATTTTCAAGCAAATACCTCCTTATATTTTAAATAAACAAAAATTCTTTACCGTAAGTCACATCTCCCATTATAACAGCTTCAGCACTTGTGAATTCTTCTATAATATCAGCTATAGTTGTGGCATACATTAAAAGTCCTTCTGGCATTTGTAACGCAACCCTTTTAGCTTTTACTTCTTTGATTCTCCATACGGATTTGTGGATTTCAAAATTATAATTATTAGGTAGCGCAGCAATCGCTGCATTTAATAGAGGATTGTTTAAAATTTCCTCTGGAATTTTATTTATTTTAACCGGTGCTTTAAAAATTTTACGTACTGGTTTTGCTTTAACTATCACAACCGAATTGCAATCCTCAGCCATAATTGAAGATTTTATTATTAATTTTGATTAGTCACAGTTTCGTCTAGATTTCTTGTTTTATAAACACGATATTTATACCATATACAATATTCATAAATTAAAATTATTTTCTTTTTTACTTTTAATAACTGTAGTAAAACGATATTATTATATTTTACAACTATTTAAATTAACACATTACGTAGAGGTTATGTTATGACCAATCATCACATTCATATGATCACATTATATGTTGAACGAAGTCAGAGTCAAATGTGAGATGTGAACTATGAACATTATGTGACGTAATCCGCAGTGTAGGAATGGAATCAATTTTGAAACAAATTGATTTTTTAAATTACGAATCGATCTTCGATTCGAAGTGTATTGCCATTTACAACATTTCGTCTTACTAAATTCATTGCCTTTAAAAAAAAATAATTAAATAAATTTCTATATTAAATGTCTAATATTTATAATGCTATCGAATTATCAATTATAATGTCTTGTGACAAGACACTACATCTAAACTTTTAAATTAGATTGCTATATTTATTTATTTAGAATTTGGAATATAATTACATACATAGTAATTCGGATAGTAGGGGAATTTAATGTGGGGGAGAGGTTGTAGTCGCGACGAGGGGGGGGGGGCATTTTTGTTATAAATTCGCTTAGAGATTCCGGATTCAGCTACGATATATGATATGTAGCACACATATATACATACATGTGAAAAAGTGTAAAAAGATAAAGAAATAACAAGCTAGAATTTGTATGAATACATAACGATAACAGCAAACAATAACATTAATTTATTCTATATTAATAACAAGTTTCAACACGTAGTAAAAATACATCGAATCGAGGTTATGAGACGCACTGTTCGTCATTCGAAAGCAAGACAACAAATGAATAGCGTCGGAAAACGTGGCATTGGCATCTTGGATCGGAGTCCGAAGTCGGAAGCTGAGGGCTACAACCCCGTAATCGACGTTAGGGGCATCGGAAGCAACAGGATGCAATGTGAGTGTTCCCCTAACTAATAAAAATGAAGAGGGGGTAATAGAGGGGATTGTCGACTTCCCTGACTGCGATACGCTTGCGCCGACACGATGCGCGTAGTTCACGATTTTCCCACATGGCGCATTCTCACTACTTAAGTGTTCACCTTCCGATGGAAGTGGGAGGTTAGGCGAGGATTTCGGGAAGCGTGCCATTTCAGAGTAGAACTATCGCAAGTTGCTCTCGGAAGTAGGTATACAGTAATAGGTACTTCTCGCCACACACAATGCGTCTGATAGTGACTGTCTGATAGTAAACTATCTGATAGTCTGTGTGACGCGACCCGCTATCAAATGGAAACAAATTAATGTGATTATCTGATAGTTGCCATCGCAATACGAAACAGTTTTGTAATGCATTGTGCCTTGCTCAGAAGAAGTCCGCTGCAAGCAAAGTGTGTAATACTAATTTCCACCAATCCATTCATTCTAACGCCATCGCAGAAGGAGCGTAAACGCGTTTCTCTTATTGGCAGGAATGATCCCTTCCTATTAGCCCTAAGTACATATTCGCTGCGATTGTTGAATTTTTCTCATTGCATTAGAAATAGTGGCCATTTTAAATCGAGCACTTTATTATGGCCCTCTCTTTATATGAATTTATATTTTGCATCGGTAACAACTAATAAAACAATTGTTTTATAATTATAGTAGTAGCTTCCACTATTTTTTGAAGCCTGCACTGTAATATGCTTTGCGTTTATAGCATCTGAACACTGAGGAAAATTTCGTAAGTCATTTAAGTAAATTAATCGGTGTTCATTATTGCAAAAAATGGCAATAGAATAAGAAGCATAACAAGAACTATTTCATTTGCAAATCAGTAATCGATAGTGGTGCCCTCTGAATCTGATATAAATATATAATTCTAATTCGTATATTATATACATACGTATGTATGTAGATGCAGGTACTACATATTATGTACAATTGTATTTATTAATGATATTTATTATTGTTAGATGTGTAATTGTTACATTATAAGCCAAGAGTATTGTATTATATTACAAATATACTTAATTATAGAAAGTATGTACAATTAATTTTAAAAGAAAAAACCTATACTTTTGAAACAATGTAAAATTTAATGGACTAACGAAGAATTTAATGTACGAACAAATTTCTAAGTATTTATTTTTATGTTTAATTGTTTATATAATTAATATATATTTTTATATATCGAAATATATTTAAAAAAAATCCCTAGGTCCCACCGAGATTTGAACTCGGATCGCTGGATTCAAAGTCCAGAGTGCTAACCATTACACCATGGGACCATATGTACCAATGCCTTTCATTTTTACTCTCTTAAACTACAGTTAACCATTTTTTAAAATATGATAATTTAATACATATAAAAATACACTTCCGTAATTGTTAATTATTTTTATTGTTATTTACTTCTTTAGAGCATTTTTTATACTGACTTTTGTCATTATTGGTTATTCTAACTTAAATCATTTATTATAGTCATTTATTTAAAACAGTATACATATATAATAATATGGAAATATACACCGTATATTCAAATATTAATTAATGATGAATAACATTAAAATTTAGTTACACAAATAGTTGACATGAAAATAATTGTATCATTAATAATGCGTTTAAATAATGTGCTTATTACTTTATAATAAATAAGTGGATTAAATTGCGATCTTTAAATAGTATTTACCAAGAATTAAAATTACAAATTTCAATATTTCA